CGCGGATCGGCGGAGGGGCCCTGGCCCTGCTCGGGCCCCTGGAGGGGGCGCCGCGCCTGCCGGAGCCCGCGCGCGCCTGCCCGCGGCCCGCCGCGCTCCCGCTGCCCGAGGGCGAGCTGGACGGCTGCGAGCCGGACGCCGAGGGCAGCGGCGGCGGCCTCGTCCCCTCGCCCACCCCCTCGGTCGCGTCCTCGCAGGAGGGCGAGCCCGAGCCGGCGGCGGCGGACGACGGCGGCGGCGCGCTCGGGCTGCGCTGCCACGACGACCTGCGCAAAGTGACGCTGGAGGTGGTGGGCCGGTACCTGCGCGAGGCGGCCAGCCAGGGCCCCGCGGAGGGCGGCGGCGGCGCCGGCAAGTTCCTGCAGGGGCTGGTGGGCCGCTTCGGGGCCCCCCAGGGCGGCGCCGGCGCGGCGTGCGCGGATCAGGCGCTGGAGACGCTCCGCCGGGTGGGCGGCGGCATCCTCGACAAGCACCAGCTGGCTTTCCAAGGTGAGGCGCGGCGGGCGGGCGGGCAGGGCAGCTCCCCCCGGCGGCCTGCGCCCCGCTTCGCCGCCCCTCGTGCGGCGGGGCCGCGGGGCGGCGGAGGCTCCGGGCGCCGAGTTGCAATGAATTGCTCCGGGGTGGGGGGCTGGAGGAGCCTGTGCGCCATCTTAATTACTGTAGCCCAAGTCTGCCTTGCGCCGCGAATAGCGCTCACGGTGGGGCGCAGGAATGAAACGGTCGGGTCGGGGCGCGGGGGAGAAGCGGGGGGCCTTTGGTGTGCTGCGTTGCAGCATCCGCACTCCGCTCGTTGGCTGCCAAGCGTGTCCACGGCGGTGAGCTGGGAAGGGAAGGGGGCGCCCCGGGGGAAGCGGCGGGGAGGACCCGGGAGGCCTGTGCCTGCGCGAGTTGCAGGAGCGTGCGAGCTGCATAATTGCGTGGACACGTGTGGCAGCGGGGGGGGGGGGGGGGGGGGGGCAGGGGCAGACGAAGGGAAGGGGGGCTGCGGGAACCCCTAGCAGCGACAGAGCGAGCGGGCTGGGAAGCTGTGCGGGGGTGCGGGCATCGCGGGGGGGGGGGGCGGCGGGGGGCCTGGGGGGGGGCGTGGGGGGGGGGGGGGGGGGAGGGAGAGCAGCTAAGTGTGCCTTCGCTTCCCGATGCAGCCCTGGGGTTGGGGGGCCATAGATGGCAGAACCAAGCAGTGGAGTGCATTGGGGTACAGAGGGCTGTCTGAAGAGTTGCTGGTGATGGGAACCTGGTCGGTTTAATCCACAGATTGTGTGCCGTGGAGGTAGCAGAAGGGTTAGGTCAGGTAGGTTCAGGTTCAATCTGAAGAGCAGGGCTGAGAGCTTGGTATAGTGCGTGGGTTACCTGAGCCTAATCTGGAGTGGGCTTCAGACTTGTGAGGCCACTCTGTGTGTGTGTGTGTGTGTGTGTGTGAGAGAGAGAGAGAGAGAGAGAGGGAGAGAGAGAGAGAAGGCTTCCTTGTTTTGCTGCAAGGAGTAACCGAAAACACCAAACCCAGCAGAAATGAAACTGAACTTTGTGCTCGAGGGAGGGAGGGGAGGAACCCTGCATGATAATCTGGTTATAGATTAGCTTTAGTTCTTGCTCACATCCTGCCCTGCCTAGCAAATTAAAAGTAACTTATTGTAAACACGGTAATAAAAGCTTGGCTCGAACCTGCATCAGAACAATTAGTTCACTTCTAAGCAGAACAGCCTGGCAGTTCATTAGCAGTTTGCATTTGGACTGCCTCTTCTTTGGACTGATGTAAATATGTTATGTTGAAGTGTTAAATTTTAAGGTTGCACGTTAGTTTTACTGGGGCGAGAAAACTTCAAAATTGGACAGCCCTTTCTGTATAAAACTTTTCTTATGTTTTGAAGCCATAATGTCACAGACTTCCCACAGAAGGTTGTGCTTGTACTCTGGATTAGAAAGAACTGGGACTGGCCTCACTTAGTTCCTTAGGAGCAAATTTCATGAACATATGTTTGCTACTTCTCTTTAACTTGCTTGAATAATAGCCTCACCATTGTGGAATAAACAAGCTGCCAAATAAAAAAATCTCACTTCCCTGTTCCTGAATCTTAAAAGTGAAAAGGAACTGTTTAAAATAACTTCCTGTTAGGGACAAATGCAATTTATAAGTTGAGTTTAAGTGGTGGTATTAGCAGCAGTTTGACCCTTGCTTAATTGGAGGAGCAAAACTTAATTTTAACAGCAATGTTATGTGTTTTGAAAACAAGTTTGAAGTATTCTGACCCCTAGACATTGTTAGTACTGGAGCGAGTGGGTGTAAAATAGGTTTCAGCTCTTTACAGAAATATGTAAGGGCTGCAAGCTTTTGATTGTTGCAGAAGCAGGTAAATACTCTATTGCAGCTATTGAACAGCCTTAAATGCTTGCTTACTTAGCAACTGCTCAAATTTGACTTGTAGTTTGGGGTGGTAAAATTCTGCACCTTTACAGTTAGAATCTTCCCTTATGGTTTGGCCTTCAGTCAGCACGGAAGACCGGATTTAGCACTTTAAAACAGGCGTGGCATTGTTCTTTTCCATGGTATTTCTGAAATGCAAGTTTAATGCCAACTCCATCCTTTCCCACCCAGGAATGCTTAAAAAGATGGAAATCAAGAAAGAGGATGACCTGAAGTCTGTGTCAGAAATTGCCTCACACGTTTTCAGTGACGGTGTGACAAACTGGGGGCGAATTGTGACTCTCATCGCCTTTGGTGCCTTTGTTGCCAAGCATCTGAAGAATATAAACCAGGAGAGTGGCATCAGTACTTTGACAGAAATCATTACGGACGTGCTGGTGACAGATAAGCGGGAATGGCTGGTCAACCATAATGCTTGGGTAAGTGACTCTCGGGGGCTGCGTTGCCCCTTCACCCTGTACCCCGGCCCAGTTGGAACCCCAGCATGAGGACGCTGAGGCCTGCCTGCAGCCAGCCCTTGAGGAAATGCTTTCATGCTTCCGCCAGAAGCAGCGTAGACTTCAGGGCTGCCTCCCGTGTTCCCCATGACAAAGGTGTGAACACGAATGTCCTGAAATGCATGTAGTCATTGCATGAAACATCTACACTTCATTTGGTTTTCCACAAGGAATGAAAATGTGTGTGTGCTGTCACAGAAGTGAGTGGAGAGGGGAAGAGAGAGACTTCAGTTTATGTAATTTTCGTCCTTGCAGCTAGCCTCTTGTTATTGCAAAAGGTCTTCAGCACTGCTCAATACATTCTGTGTCTTGTGGCAGATAATCTCATATCGCTGTGAATTCTGTTAAGCTGTCTGGATCACAACTGGTGCTGTAGGTGCTCAAAGCCATTAACAATTCGATTCTTTTTTCTAGGAGGGGTTTGTTAAATTCTTCCATGTAGAGGACATAGAAGGCAGCATCAGAAACGTTCTGATGACTTTTGCAGGCGTTGCTGGATTAGGAGCAAGTTTGGCATACATGATCCGGTGAGACAAACAGTGGTCCACAGGTGGAGCTAGCTTGGACTGTCCTGTTCCTGCCATGACTAGAATACTGAGCTGTTCTTTGAAAGTTGACGGGAGAATAAACACCAGGAAATCCCATGGAAGGTTGGTTTGAACTGTCAGTTATAGAAGGTCATCAACAAAGGTGCCTTGCAAACGGGCATAGATCTTTCAAGTGAAGAAGCATACACTCTGCTTCCTGAAGAAGCAACATGTGAGAAGCTAAGAGGACTGAAGCCCTGCATAGTGCAGTTTTGGTCGCGGACTAACCTGCATCTGCATTGGCTTGGTTTAAGAACTGCTGGATATTATTAGCTAGTGTTCCATTGACAGAGGGCTGTGATCATAGGCCAAATGTGTCTGAACTACCAACTTCTGAGGAATAGTGTTAGGTCTGAAGTCCAAGATATTTTGGCCAGTGTGCAAAACAAGGACCTTCAGGTGACCGCTGAAAATGCCTTTTTTGTAGTTGGCACAAGTGTGGAGACAGAAGGCCTGGTGACCTCCAAAATCTGACCAGCTCATGTATCTTCATAAAGGGCTGACCCTGTTGTATGTACCCTTCCAGTTTTGTTGCTTGTTCTCTGACTCCCTTCCCTTGGAAAGCATACACTGCCATGGTTCCCAAGATCACATGCAGCTAATAAAACATGGGGCACAGTCTGTAAATATGTATAAAGATTCAAGGAAAAGTTTGTTGACATAATGTAATGTAAATACACAACTGAAATTGTACAAAGTGTACACTCTTAAAGAGCTTTATCTTTGGGAAAGGTTGTAAAGAGGCTTTTTTTAAAATAAGATTTAAATTCAGGTAATGCAACTTGTTCTTTCACCCCATTTAAAAGACACATCCTCTGCATTTCTGTTTTATTTGCTGAATAGCAGTTTTTTTCAATGATTTCACTGTATTGATCAGCTGGCTTAAATTCAAGCCCTCTCCCTGTCCTATTTTAAATGCTTTTCCTTCCTCTGGTTGGGGAAGGAAGAACATTTTGGTTTAAAGATTTTTTTTTTATAAAAATCTTCATGCTTTATCTCTTGTTTTCTTTAGTCTCCGTTTTTAAAAGCTAATCTTGCAAATGAACAACATACCTATCTTTAAGAACGAAATGACTTCAGTGAGTTAACAATGATAACAATGACAAGTGTACCTAAAACCATGAGAGAATCTAAGACAGGCTTATAGACTTGGGTTCCTTGAATTATTAGACTAAACAGCTTCAGTTATAGGAGCAAGAGTTTTAAGTTGTTTTGCAGTTGGGCTAGATTGCATTTAGTCTTTACTGTTAGCTTTGTTTAGACCAAATTACGGCAGATGTGCAAACCTGAAGCAAAGCATGAACTCAACATGGTGCTATGGTCGGACCTGCTTGTTTACATGAACTATCTAATAAAACAATTCACAGGTGTTGTGGTGTGTGCCTTCTGTTGAGGCAGGAACATGAACTAAACCATAGATTTGCCCTGATGAACTAAACCATAAATTTGCCCTGTTTCTGTGGCCAAACTATTACCGGCTTGCAGGTTTATCTAATTGCAGGTATAGTGTCCTTTCTCTGCTTCACTTGTTCCCACTCCATAATTTTGCCTAAAGAAGTTACAGACTGGCTTGCTTGTTTTGGGTGGAAATTAGGCAGGGAGTTGGAGAAAAAAGTTTGGGCTAAACTCTTCTTTCGGCCAGTAGAAGGGCTTTACTCTTTCTTACGTTCTTTTCTCCACTGGACCTCCTGGATTGAATTGCTATGATGTTTTGCTTTAGCTTCAGCACTGTGCCTGCCTGGTTACTGTGCCGTCAGTGAATAGGGGTCTGCAGCCTGGATTTGGCCAACAGATTATTTTATCCCTGGTGCTTTATGTCGCGCAGCAAAACTGTGCCTGCCTACTTCTTTGGCTTGTCTAGAGGCGGTGTGGGTGACTTTGGCAGATCTAAGGCCCACTCCCCATTATGCACAGAGAACCCTCTAGGAGATGCAGTGCTGTGCATCTGATTTTGCTGCCAAAATTAGGCAACGCAGCGGCAGCGACAAAAAAGCCATGCTTTGTTTTCAAGCCAAATTGTGGCCCCAGGAGGGTTTCAGGAATGCAGTTTTCCTTGAAAACAAGGCCTGTGTTCCCTTTGCAACTTGTTTTCAGCAAACCCATTTTTTTCTGCACCACTGGTGGCAAATTATAACTGCCCAATTGCAGCGGTGAGTCAGGGACTGCAGAAGATGCCAGGAAGTGACTTGCAGGCTAGCGGGTGCTCCATTGAAAGTGTGATATTTGCTGGGGGTGAAATCAAAGGCTTCCCGAAGAATCTTGACTTGGCATCTCGAACTTGGTGCTCTTGATCAAAGCACTTCAGCCAGTCCTGTTCTTTTAAAGCCAAGGGAATGAAAGTGTTTTCAGATACTTCAATCACAAACCAGTAGCTTTGAAACCTTTGAATGTGCCAATGATGCGTTGTAGCACTGGGCAAAGCCCTTCCTTGGAAACATGCAAATCTACGCTTCTGCAAAGGGCATTTCCCAGGTGATGATGCCGTGAGCATGTGAGACAGGAGGCTGGAGGAAAAAATACTGCTTTCCTGGTTAGTCCAACCCAAGCAGTATTTGGAGTAAACAAATGCAAGTTTTGTCTCAAGTGGGGTTGAGTTGCTGCAGATGAATTTCATAGCTTAAATGCTTCACTAAGTGTTGAAATACATTTCTAGATATTGTACTGATTTGCATCTGCACTAATTCCTTTTGCAAAACTTAACCAATTGTTTCTCCTATCCTGAGGAGCATCTGGCACTTCACCTCTTAGCATGTACTCACAATTCTTATGTGTAGCATATTCTGCCCACCTGAACTAGAATGGGACAGAATCACAAGGGGCCCTTTTTAGCACTGAAATTAGCACTGCTGTAGCATAGCTAATTTTTCCTCCTCACTTTAAGAAGTAAAGTGGTTTTTCTCTGCTCTTAGAGGAGGAGGAGAAGGATACCTATTCTGAAAACATGTTCTAGCCAACCATTTGCTCACACAAAACTTAGCTACTCCCAAACATCATCTTAATTTCAAGTATTGTCAAACAGTCAGTAAACTTCTGCTTATCTTGGTGATTCCACTAGTATACCCCAAATATTTTAGTGCTTGCCTTAGAGTTTCATAGATTCATAGTTGCTAGCAGGGTCTTGCTAAGAGACAGGCCATCACTTCCCTATTTTGGAAGTAGTATCAACATCTTTAGTTTGTGTTAGATGGGTGAATGCCGTTTCCATAGTAATGTACTTGGATCCTTAAAACGCAGCAAGTGCAGCTGGTTATTCTGAGCCACCTGCAGGAAGAGTTGTCATGTTGCTAGACTACACAAACACCCCGCCAGCTATGAATGAGCCGGCCGAGGCTGTCTTGTGGGAGACCCACCAACAGCTTCTTGAAAACCGGTGATTTTAGCAGCCTAACTTTTTGGTATGCGATCTTGCACGTTTATCCTAGTGCAAGTTATGTACTCTGTATCCTTTTTATGTTAACTAATATCCTAAAAGGAGGAAACTTTGTTTTTCATAACTTCCTATTTTTGGCTGAGGAAAAGAATGTGTGCCCTACACTTGTGCTTGCGAGTCTCTGCAGAATTCCCAGCGTTGTTGGGGTTGATGGGGCTCTGGCAGGGCTAGCAAGGACTGGAGCTGCCTTCTGCAAACCAGGCTTTCGAAACCTGAGCAAATGCTCTTCAGTACAATACACAGGTTGCTGCTTTGAAGTTTGGGTTGGGAATGGTGCTTCAATGCACCATCCATTCTTCAGAGCGCAGAGCAACGTCGCTGTTTTTGAAACATGCACATGGAGTATGATAGCTACATGAAAAGAATAAAAATGGATTTCTATCATTTGGTTTCCCAGCACTCTTTTTCTATCCTCTCAAGTCAGTCTTTACCAAAATGAAAATCAATTTTGCTTGCTAGAACTCTCTCACTGGTTGAGATGGTAATAGGCTGTACGCATTTAAACAAAAGCAAGCAGATTCCAGTATGAGTTGGAGAATACTGACTTTTTCTGCTATTGGGATATCAAACACCCAGTTCACTGTATAGAATGGCTCAAGTTCTGGACTCAAACACTAATATTGAAGCTTTTTACTGTCATAACTCATCAATTAGGCACAGTAAAGGTGGGATTCTTGGATGTCATCTGCCAATTTTGTACCATGACTCTAGAGAGGCCTATTCCAGTAATGGTAAAGGTCAACTTAAGTACGAAAGCTGGCATTCTAGTCTTGAGGATTTTTAAAAATCCATTTCCTATGGCCTCAGAAAAGTTGTCAGGACAAAAAGCATGCCTGCAGACGTCTCCGGTACTCTTCCTCGTTCATGTATTTGGTGGGGTCTTCTTTTCATTGTGCTTTTTAATCTAGCCATGTTCATTTAGCCAGACAAGTATACAAAAGAGCCACCTGTAAACCTGCTAGAGTTTTTCAGTTCCGCAATGTTGTGAAGCTGACTGTGGCTGCCAAATCCCCTGTCCGCACAATTTATCTGTCACCTGTAATAGAGGGTTACTGTGCTACTTTCTACTGCTGACTTTGATTCTGTTGCTCTTCAGTGTGTTCTCCAGATGATTTGGACTTCAGTTCCCATCCACCCATGCCAGCATGGCCAGTGGTCAGACGTTCTGGAAGGGCTCCAACTGGAGAAGCTGAGCTATAGAGAGTACTTAAGCTCAAAGCTCCAACCTTTGAAAATCTTTGTACCACTTCTGCAACCCTCCGTTTCATCAGGCCTTGTCCCAAAGCTTTCCTCCATACCTTTACAGCTGTCCTAGTTATTTTTTAATATAGAGCCAAGCCAAAAATGGCAGAAATGACTGTCTTTGACAAATGGATTTCATAGCCTTCATTAGTTGAGCCAGAAGAGCTCGAGAGGCACAGCGTCCAAGGTTGCTGGACCCTCACCTTGAAACATAGAGATCCTTAAAGCTGTGTCTCCCTTTGCTCACTTAGGGATCCATCCAGGTGCTGTGGATCTGCTTCCGGGCTTCTCTTTTCTGGACTATGGCTTCCTTTTGTCTCCCCTGAGAATTAGCTGATTCATAAGGGATCCAGCCCTTCATGTGGATGCTTCGAGCAGCTGCTTTTAGCTTTCTGTTCCAAAAGCAAAACCAAGCCATCCAAATGTTAATGCCATTCCTCTCTGGTGAAGTCACTGCTGTGGTTTTTCCTGTAATAAGACGCCCGCAAATAAATAAATGAAAGGGAAGCTTTTATCCAGGCAAGCAGGGATTCAGCGAGTCCTGCAGGGTCTGCCTGAGAGGGTGGAGAGAGCCCTTGCTAGCCAGGTCCGAGCAGTTCTTTTTCCCCTGTTGGTAGATCCATGCGACTTCTCTTACACCCCCTAATTTGATTAAATGGGGAAGTTGTGGCAGTGCTGGCATTACCCAAACACTGGTTATCTGAGGCATCACCTTTTTCACACCTTCAGCCGGAGGACTGCTTCAGCCTTTACCTGCGGGGCCGGGGCACAAAGACTAGCTCTCTTCAGGATGTCTCTTGCATCCATTGCTCTGAGATGGTTCCCTGTGCACAGAGGTCTCCAGATAAGAGAGTCAACCCAAGTGTGCCATCGCTCCACAAAGGCAACAGCCCGTCCCTATTGTCCACCCCACACAGCTTGCATTTAGAAGCACACGGAGAGCATTTTATAGACCGACTTTCCATGGAATACGACCGAGCCCATTTATTACCATCAAAGTCCTTTTATGCTGCATGGCATTCCTTCGATTAAATTCTTCTATCTTGGATGCCCAATGATAACCCGAGGACTGTTCCATAAGTCTTTGTCGATGGCCTTCTGTTATCTGCTGCTGTGATGATATTAATAAGTTGAAAGTGAGACTAAACGTTGCTTGTGTTTCACTTCTGTGAAAGCAGTGCAAAGGGTGGAGAAGAGGTTTCGAACCGCCAGGCAGGTGTCATGGAACGCCTTTTGGTCTTGGCCTGTCTCGAACCTGATAATGCTAGCCAAAGTCTGTCTTGACACTAAACACTGCAGAATCTGCGAGCCAAATAAGGCAAGCCGCACTGGTACTGTTTCCTTCTCCACCTAATAATAAAGCTCCCCACCACCCACTCTGAAAGAAAAATATTCAGAGCAAACTGGTTCGTAGAATCAGAACAGTACGTTGGAAGGGGCCGTGAAGGCCATCGAGTCCAACGCCCTGCTGTTGCAGGACACCATGTCACACCATCCCACTCAGAGGGCTGCCCAGTTTCTTTCTGAATGTCTCCAGGGTGGGAGCGCCCCCCACTTCTCTAAGCAGCCAGCCTGGGACTGGAGATCTGGTTTCTCTCTCTCACTCAGTCGTGAAATTCACTGGGTGACTTTTGGCCAGTCGCTGCTTATGGGATTGTGAGATTAATAGTCCCAAATAACCGGAGAGCACCAGGTTG